TGGAATTTGGAAAACAGATTTCTATTTATTAGGGTACTAGAGTTAAACAGAATGCATTTCAGACACTCATTGCTCAGTCCAATTAGCAACAAAGCCTTTGAAATACCCTTTCAATTCACTACTGGAATTATGTCCTTGTCCGGCAATGTCTGGTGGAAAAAGGGACCTTGCTGAAAGGACACTGGGCTTTGGCTCAATCCGGATAGAGCAGAGGGGATGCTGTTTGCAAGATCTAGGACTGCTCCCTCAGTTGTGAGCATTTACCAACCCATGGCCAAAGTGGCTTATTATCTTACTGTTCCCTACTCCTGAATTCCATGTAGACAAAAAGGACCAGAAACAGTCTCTGACCACCAGCTAGTCAATAGACTGTCCTTTTCTCTCAGTATGGACCTCTCTCCAGTTTACCTCATCTACAATACCTCCAATATAGACTTTTACTACTTGAAACCCCATGAAACCCTCTGAGGAGCTTCAGCTATAGCAGAACATGACTACATCTCCCTTTCATAGTAGGGCAACTTGATGAGTTTATATTACACCTAAGTTTCATATCCCCCAAACACTGATGGCCAACCAAACATATTTCTACAATAGATGAAGAGGAGGAAGCAGGAACATGGTAAAATGAAAGAGCTATTCAGAACCTGATCCCTTTTGCAAAGGCTGTTTCAGAGTACCCACTTTGTCTGACTCGGTTTGGGCTGACTGAGGGGAAAAAGAACATGTGTGACATGGATCCAGTATTTTTTAACAATGTTGTGGTCAGAATGTGCATTGGACAATATACGATTATGAATATTCCATGAAACAAACATGTTAAGAGATATGTACACCTCTTAAATAATTTCTGACCTACACAGAAATTGCTTTTATTGAGGTAAGAGCATCTATTACCAAGGAGAAAGTCAAGTGGGCTGTGGTATTTCTTGGGTTTCTCTTGCAAACCTTGCTCTTAAAGAAGATCTTGAAACATTGAGAGAGAACAAAGAAGATGAGAAAAAATAGGATTAAAGTGAAGAGAAATATTTGTTTGAATAGGTAAGAGCTAATTATACGTTTTCAATGACCCCTACTGGAAAATGTAATACAGAATAATGCAAGTAACCTCACATTTTTCATGCAGTGTTTTAATAGACAACTCTCTCTTTGAATGATGCAGATGTTTTAAAAGACTGGAAAAGATTCAAATAGGAATAAGTCCTTACCCCATAGCAACTACAGAGGAATGATGAAGGGGGACAATGCCAGATTGAAAATTTGTAGCTAATCTCATTGTTTCCTGCACAAATAAAATTTTATAATGAGCATACTCCATGCAAGCTGTGCGGAGCAGGACTCTCTTCCAAAGATGCACAGAGCAGTAGTAAAATCAAGCCTAGATGTAATGACATCTGTTGTGGCATTGTTATCAACTGCCATCATTTTCTGTCACAGATCTATCATAATCTCAACTTTTTAAAAAATATTAGTTTGTCTGCGGCATCTCGATGCTGGCACACGAGGACTGACAGATGCTTTAGTTTTACCTCATCTTCAAATGACATGGCTTCTCATTACACTAGCTACAGCTCAGCAAATTATTCTTCTGCTTTGGAAAGTGGACAAAATGCCATCTGTCTCGGCATGGTTATCAAAAGAAATACTGTAATGTGGAAAAACTGATCTGAAATGGTACCTGGCAACTCTACCGTGAGATCAGTTATCCCATTAAAGCCACACCTGGCAACCAACACTAGCGAGTGGGCTGTATGATTATTGTAACCAAGACAGCCACCTGGGATAGGGTAGTTTTGCTAACTGTTCCTGGGTACCTAGAATTTGAGGGGTGGACCGACTGAACCGTAGCAGCACTTTGATTGGATGCAGAGAGAGTGCATCCATCAGTTGTGCGCAATCAGCATGCATCTCACTTCACAGGCCCTTGCTTTACATGTGTGTCATAGAATCATAGCGCTAGAAGAGACCTCAGGAGGTCATCAAGTCCAGCCCCCTACCCACAGCAGGACCAATCCCAACTAAATCAACCCAGCCAGGGCTTTGTCAAGCTGAGACTTAAACACCTCTAGTGTCACTTTAGTAATACCGATAGAAGAAAAACAACTATGAGGACAGAAACCTGCAGAATCTGGCAACCCTTTGCATGGGCAACAGTAAATAAAATGTCTTGTGGTCCACACATAGAACTCGCATGGGTCACACGTGGCCCATGGGTCAGAGGTTGCCCACTCACTGGAGTAGAGTATACACATATGATAGGAGTTACTATAGAGAACTTTCTGGGTGTCTGGCTGATGAGTCTTGCCCACATGCTCAGGGTTTAGCTGATCGCCATATTTGGGGTCGGGAAGGAAGTTTCCTCCAGGGTAGGTTGGCAGAGGCCCTGGAGGTTTTTCGCCTTCCTCTGTAGCATGGGGTACAGATCACAGCTAAAGGATTCTCTGCATCTTGGGGTCTTCAAAGTATTTGAAGGCTTCAATATCTGAGATATAGGTGAGAGGATTATTCTAGGAGGGGTGGGTGAGATTTTGTGGCCTGCACTGTGCAGGGGGTCAGACTAGATGATCATAATGGTCCCTTCTGACCTTAAAGTCTATGAGTCTATGTACAGTTGTCAGACTACCATATTCCTAGCTATTGTACTGTGCTTATAGCCTAAGTGATAACCAATCTCTGACCTTTGCGCATATGTGGTTCTGATGCCACTAACGAATATTAATTATAGACTAGCATGAAAAACAAGGTGGTTTCTCAAAAGCAGAAACTCCAATGTGACTATGAGTAGATTGTGGGAGAGGAGTGTGTGTGTGTGTGTTATTAAAGGAAGATGGTTGTTAAAAGAAGGTGAAAAGGTTAAGGAAAGGGACAGGTTTCTTCACTGTGCTTTAATATGAACATCTGTGTGATTCAATATATAAACCAGATTCATCTGTGTAATTCTATAATATATAAAGTAGTTGGTCCTGCAGGAACAAAATCTTTTACTAAAGGATTTTTCTCCCAAGTCTTTAGAAAAGAGAAAGAGAAAGTCTTGCTATACATTTTAGAAATGTGTGTCTGTCTGTCCATCTGTCTGTGAGTCCATTTATTCAAGAACTCCTCCGAAATGGGAAGAGCTAGGACCACCAAATTTAGTAGGCAACTTCTTCTTATCATAACCCAAAGCAAGGTCAGGGTTTGGTTGTGCGAGGTAATGGGGTGTGTGTGGCACTCTGTTTCTCATAAAATGGAAAGGGAGGGGTCTGGTAGGAGGGAGTTATACTGCAGCATGACCACAGGGGGCAGCAAGGGGCCAGAGATGGGGACAAGGACAGCTATAACCCCATTGGGCCAGCAGGGCACAGGGGTGGAGAAACGAACAGCTATGTACTTTATATTTCAGAGGGTGTATCTGTTTGTGTGTCGGTTTGTCTGTGTGTATCTATCCTCCAGCTGGGGGACATGCACCCCTCCCCCAGCTGTGTCTGCTGGAGCTGCAGCGGCCACAGAGAGGTGCTTTTCACCTGGCCCCAAGCTGCTGTGGTAAGAGAGGGCTGTGGTAGTCTGCGAACTGAACCCCTCATCCACAGCCCAGCCCCACAGCAATGATTTAAATGAAGAAAAACAAAACTTATTTGAGTTAAGGATCTGAGCAATGCCAGGTAAATCTTCTAGTTAGTATATAGGTAGAAAAGTGGTACACCTCCAACAAGCTAACCCTGCCCTTCACGCTGTCAGGCAAGGAGATTGGCCTCCTCAGACTCTCTCCCTCCCTTAAATAGCATGGTTTATTTTGAGTGCCAATGGGCTGATTGGAAGAGACCTGCTCTTACTCTGAGCCCAACATATATACAGACACATGTAGCAGGCAGAATCCCCTCTCTGCATTGCATTCAGCATCCACACATCCATTCAAAAAATGAGGTTTAGCTGACCAGAAACTAGGGATGTAAAATCCTAGTTAATCAGTTAACTGGTGAAACTTTAGGTTTAATTGGTGAACTGATTAAGCAAGATCCTGCATGGGAGGGGCCAGTAGCAGGATCCAGCTGCCCAAAGTGTGTGTGGGGCTTCTGACACCCCCCCATTTTGGGGGCTGCCACTGCCAGTCCCCGCCCCCCCATGCATGGGGCGGTTGATTTCTGCTCCCGGCGGGCCACAGATGGGAGACTGCTCCCAGATACTGGTTAACAGTTCATATTCCTACCACAAACATGAGTATGCACTTCAAACAAACATTCTCCTTCTATTGACTAGTATGAAATTAAGACTCCATACACAATCAACATGCTGCATCACTAGTGAAAAAATATAGCCTTCATTAACATATGCAGGAATTTGTACAGGATGAGCCTCTCTGGTCCGGCAATATCCGTAGTCCGGCATGATTTTAGTTAGCCAGATGTCCACTCCTCATGGGCATGGCCAAGTTTCCCGCAGTCCCATAAAGTCCTGGCTCTCAGCGTTCTGTGATGTTATTTAGCTCTAATTTACCTCTAATTATCTTCTAAGAGCCCAGTAAGCAGTGGAAGTGTTGGTAATGCTGCTAGACAATATTGACCTCCCATGGTTTGGCAAATTCTCTGGTTGGGCACTGGTTGGGTTCCAAGGGTGCTGGACTAGAGAGGTTCAACCTGTATCTCCTTTCATGGCCTGGCATAGGAGAGCACTTAGTATATATGACCAGAGTATCATTCTCTCTTTTTCTACTACTGCTTTCCAACCTCATATCTTCTAGCTCTTTATTTAACAGCGGGTAATTAATTCTACTCCCAGTTTGCACTGAAATCTGGCATTATTGTTGGAGAGTGAGAAACCCACATCCAAACATCCAGCTGGGCATGTAGACACAAAGTTAATTAAGAAGGGTGTGCATCACTAAATTTTAACCCACATAAAACTATTAAAAGAATGTCAAATTCCCTCCATTTAAAAGATATGTGGTGTTAAGTGTTCCCTCATTCATTCCCAATTGGCCTGGAGTTAGTCATACCTTATTTCAGACAGATCCTGAGTCCATTTCTCACGTTAACTCCAGTTCATTGACTTCAGTGGGTTTACACCTGATTTGCACTTGAGGACAATGGTTCTCTGTCAATATTGTCAGAAGTAGATTCAAAACCCTACAGGGCTGGCAGAACCTTAAACATGAGAGGATGAGAAGAGAGTGAATTTTTTTCAATCAAAAAATATTTTGGTCACAAATTGACTTTTGGAAATGAGGGTTTTAAATGGAAATTGCTTTTCTAGTTTTTTTGTTTTTTTAAGCAAAGCAAAAGCCAACACGGTTTCTTGGTTTTCCTAAAACCAGAAACATTCCATTCGCATTTTCCCCATTAAATGGCTTCCTTTATTATGAAATTTCTCATAAAATATAGTTGACTTTCCATAATTGTCTAGAAGCGGATGCTAACGAGGAGGAATCTTCATGTTACATGGAGTATACATATACACATCTGTGTGCATACCCACACTTAATTATGGGTTAAATCCAGTTTCCCATATTGCTATAAGTGTGCCAGTATATATGTGTGTGTTTGTCTCTCCTCCTCTTCGACACTCACACTTTTACAGAACATTCCCGCTATAAGTCGCCCCAGTATACATCGGTTCCACACTAATGTTATTCACGTTTATAGGAACTGATACGTTATAAATCCTCCCATTCCCTGCTTTTACGTCATGCAGAAAAATCCTCCAATTTGCGCAAATGGAAGTCAGCTGCGGGAAAAAATTTCCTCGCTTTACATTGTTTCGCTATTCGTCCGTGTTTATTGGAACATATCTTGGATATATAGCGGGGACACCCTGTATTTACACATGTACATACAGCACTATAGTGAAAGCCTTGAAAATGGTGTTTTTTTGGGATACGTTTTGCTATCTTTTAGGACTAGATTATGGTTGATCCTATACACCGGCATAAGAGCATAAGGAGTCATAAATTACCTTGTTACATCTTTGAAGCCAGGCACCTTGCCATTCCTTGCACATGAGGAGAGAAACAGACACTGCAGAGCAGCTGTATCCTCACCTCAAGAAGGAAAGAGGGTAGGAAAAAGCAGGAAGGATGGATGGAAGTGGAGCTTTTTCTAGCTTTCCTCCCAGGCTGCTCCTTTGACAGCACAAGAACGTGCATGTCCCTCGTTCCTAGATCCTAACATCACGATATAGCCCTTCGACTAAGATCTTTGCCCTTTGACTAGGATCTAAATAATTCTTATTAACAGTGATTACGTTTGGTCTTGTAAACTGAATGAGATCCATGGCAGAGTCTTTTGTACTAGTCTCGTGCATTTCCCAAGCAAGGGATTGAGGATCTTTTATCTGTGAGCACAGCGTGAAGTTAGACATACTTTTGGTAATGAAAGCATCCTCCAAGCTACAAATGAAGCCATCAAAGCCTGCTTTTTCAAATAGCATGACTCCAGGCGACTGTCCTTCTGACCTTAACCAGCCAAAGCAGCCAGGATTAAAGAACACCTCTAAGTCTAGGAAATACAAACCCAGTTTAAATATTATAGCAATCAAGACTTCACTCCGTGGTGGAACCAGGGTGCGTAAGCCATCAAAATAAACACACGCATAGACTCAGCTCCCAAGCCATAAACATGTAACAGGCCATGACATTAAAGCCAAGCAGGACTAATGGGGAAAAGGACGTATTAGGAATAGAATGCCCTTCATGGGTTGAAAAATTTGCTCACTTTTCCCTTACAAGTCAGTGCTGCTTACAACTGCCTCTCAGCTACAGGCATGTAACATCCCAACTATGAGTGGTTCCCAACCTTTTTTATATGGGGGACCGGCAAACCCATTCACAAACTTTCGGCAGACTGGTAACATTTTGTGTGCATATTTGTATATAATGAATATGCAAATGAATATGAATATGCAAATATGCACATAAAATGTTACCAGTCCACCAAAAGCTCCAGCTCCCAGAGCCTCCCCATGCCAGCTCTAAACTCTAGAGGCCCACACCCCTGCACTCCCAGCCACTGACCCCAAAGTCCCCAGCACCGAACCCCCATGCCAGCCTCCCACCCTCAGAGCCCTCCAGTGCCAGCCCCCATCCCAAACACCTCAGTGCCAGGTCTCCACCCCTTAGAGCCCCCCACAACCAGACCCCCCCCAGTGCTAGCCCCCATCCCCACATTCACCCTTTCTTCCTTCAGCCATGTGGGCTTGGGAAAGAAATACCCAGCAGGATTCAGCTAGAGACAGAAGTCAGCCGAGCAGCAGCAAGAGTAGTTCAATCTGGAGCCTCTAGACTTAGATGACACCAGCCTACTGTGCAGGTTTTACTCTGGACCCAACTTGTGGATGTTTGCTCTAATCTCTTCCCCCCGCCTCTGCTCCCCATGACCTTTCCCACCCCTGAGTCCTGCGTCTTTCCTCCCAGGCAATCCCTTTGCCAAAGAGCCTTCAGTGGGTTAGGTGCCTAGCGGTTAGTGCAGCCTCCCAGGGGGTAGGCCTTGTGGTCCAGGCCCAGTTTTAATTAGAGGTGCGGTGAGGTGGGCATGTGCTTTGGATCTTGCCTGTAGTCGTGGCAGTGATAAGCTAGCCCAGGCCCACCAACTTACCCAGGCTCCAATCCAGGAGGGTCAACATTATCTGGCCCCCGCAAAAGTGCCCTTTGAGTTACCCTCCCTGGGTCACTTCCTGACATCTGCTTTTCTCCCCCAGCTTCCAATCCAGTAGAAGGTGAACTCCTCTGAGCTTCGTGAGCCATCACATCGGATGCCCTGCTTGTTCTACCCTTTTCCCTACCTTAGAATCATAGAATCCTAGAGCTGGAAGAGATCTCAGGAGGACATCAAGTCCCGCCCCCTGCCCAAGGGAGGACCAATCTCAACTAAATCAAACCAGCCAGGGCTTTGTCAAGCCAAGACTTAAAAACCTTTAGGGATGGAGATTCCACCACCTCCCTAGGTAACCCATCCCAGTGCTTCCCCACCATCCTAGGGAAATAGTTTTTCCTAATATCCAACCTAGACCTCCCCCACACTGTAACTTGGGACCATTGCTTCTTGTTCTGCCACCTGTCACCACTGAGAACAGCCTCTCTCCATCCTCTTTGGAACCTCCCTTCAGGAAGTTGTAGGCTGCTGTCCACCTCCCCCCCCCCCCCCCTCTCTTCTCTTCTGCAGACTAAACAAACCCAAGGCCCTCAGCCTCTCCTCATAGGTCATGTGCTCCAGCCCGCTAATCATTATGGTCGCCCTCTGCTGGACCCTCTCCAATGCATCCACATCCTTTCTATAGTGGGGGGCCCAGAATTGGACACAATACTCCAGACACCTTGCGTCTGTCTCTTGTCTGTTTAGATTGAAAACACTTAAGGACAGGCAGGAGGGCTGACAGCCTTGCTAGGCCTCTGGGCAAAGTGGCAGGGCCCAGCTTTGCACTCCTGGAAGGGGGGGAGTCTTGGTTGGAAGGGCAGGGCTGGGGGGAGCCAGACCTCAGTGTCACCTGGAGCGTGCCACGCTAGTCCCCCCTCCCCCCGCCCCGCTACCCTGGAGAGCTGCCCTGGAGCGCACCATGGTCCTGCACCCAGGCAGCCCTCAGAGCCACCTGGAGCGTGCCATACAGTGCTCCGGTGGTGCTTTAAAGTGAATGGGATTAGGTAGCAGTGGCAGTGGTCAGGAGCTCTGGGCCATTTTGAATCACCAGGCCCCAGGGCAACAATCCCCTCCCCCTAATGACAGGCCTGGGGACAGTACAAATTACTGTGCATTTGTACTGTGCCTATCTGCAGGGGGGAAATGGCAAAAACTTCCCATGTGTCTTAAAACCACAAATCAATAACGTTTTGGATTATTTCATGTGTATTTATTCACTTTTTTAGGCCCTCAGTATTCATGCTTCCCAGTTTGTCGATCTCTTCTAAAACCGAAAATTCTCCAAATAGAAAAGACTGCACAAATGGCTTTCCTCCTACCTAGGAAACCTAACCATGGGTTAGAACTTCAAGAGCTGACAAAACAGTGAAGCTGTTGACTCTAGAAACAAAAACAGTCCCTTCAACATTACAGTATGTATGTGGGGTGAGTGAGGAAGAAAAGGCAGAAAGCAATGCCATCTGAGAGTGTTGTTATAGACAAGCTGGTTCCAGGATAGGAGAGAGTGAGGGAATAAGGTAATATCTGTTAGGGTACGTCTAGACTATAGGCTTTTGTCGACAGAGGCTTTGTTGACAGATAGTGTCGACAAAGCCTCTGTCGACAAAGAGCGTCTAGACTACATCCAGTTCTGTCGACAAAGCAAGCCGCTTTGTTGACATGAGAGTGTAGACACAAAGGACAGCGTAGATGCAATAACACCTTTTGTCAATGGAACTCTGTCGACAAAAGGCGTTATTCCTCGTAGAATGAGGTTTACCACTGTCGACAAAACTGCCTAGTTTTGTCGATGTTATGTCAACAGAACTCAGCAGTAGTGTAGATGCAGGCATAGTTTTGTTGACAAAAGTCCACTTTTGTCAACAAAACCCTGTAGTCTAGACACACCCTTCTGCTGGTGAAAGAGAAGCTTTGGAGCTTACACAGAGCTTTTTTGAAGGTGCAATGCTCAAAAGCTGTTGATCTATTCTCAGCAAAAGAAGTTGGTCCAGGAAGAGAGATTACTTCACCCAGCTTGTCACTCTGCCTGAAAGACAAGACATGTATCATGATACTTCTATGCCCTCTCTAGTATATAATATTTCATTCAGTATCTGAACACTTCACCGTCTATATTGTATTTCTTTCACACATTGATGGTGATCTAAGACCCATTTCCAGTCACTAATAGGATGAAGAATATATCCTTGCTCCTAGCCTTTTTGGCATTTTCTTCCGTGATGCTAGATGATGCCTTCCAGGATTCTTCAAATGCCGCCTATGTGTTTTCACACCGCAAACTTTTTGTTCTCGCCTACATGCAAATTTTAAAGTGGTTGAAGGGGTGATCTGGGAACTGTTCTACACCAATGAGTTGGCAGCACACCCGGAAGCAACACAACCAGACATTACAAACCAATTTGCTGTAAGGGCTCAATTTTGGCCTTACCAGCAATTCATCAAAAGCTGAGATTATGCACTAACCATCCCCTAAACAAAACTTACCATTCTCCATCAATAAGCTTGGAAGATACCAT